CTGAGATATGCTAGAAAATATAATAATATAAGATACAAGATACGTTTGACAGATGAAATATAATTCAGTATGACAGATTATATATTTTTTAACTTATGCATGCCGTATTTTGCCTTACTTTACTAAATTACTTCACAATACAAAAAAATGTACTTATTCAAAAATATATTTATAAGCTTCATGGTGTCAAAAACTAATTTGTTTGCCATTGGATATTGAATATTTACTTAGTTGATCGTAGATTGAATAGTGCACATATGCACTGGATTTGACAAATTAATTCACTTGAAATATGAGACTTAAGTAATAGTGAATATTAAATTATTAGTGAAAAAATGTAATTTAAATATTATAATTACTAAAAACCAATTAAAATGGTACGAGATTATAAAAAATATAGCAACATACTTGCAGCAATTATTTTGGGTGGAAAAATCCAAGGTGATATTGGACAACGTCTGTCGGGTCATCTAGTATATATATATGTATATATATATATATATATATATATGCATAATTATATATTCAAATTTACTAATACAAATAGCATTTTTGAAGTATTATTTCTTTTGATTTGCAAATTGATAATTTTCAGTCATATTGGGTTGACCGCATTTTAATCAACCTGTACGCATTATTAATTTGCAGTAAAACATTTACAAATAATTAAAAAATAAATGTTATATTTTAATTTTCATATGATTTATACCAATCGTTATTATTTTTGCATAAATAATTAAAATCTGGTATTAATTAGTAATTACTAGTAAATTGAATAAAATGTTACCAATATCAATAATTATAATTAATATTTTGTTGCAGAGGATATAATTTTGATTATGTACAAATTGTAAATTTGATAATAATCATACTAAATGATGAAAATGAATTTATGCTGTATATGAAACATAATTGAATTATTACAAATTAGGAAATAAAAAGGATCACACGCGATTGAAGTAAAACTTATTTTCTACTGTACAAAGTAGCAATTTTAAGTTAGGTAAAAATGAATATATCATATAACAATTCTGAATAATGTTTATTAGTAATATGGTAACAGTCGTGATGCACACATTTATTAGTGCCAATTATTATACACATTTATATAATGATAAATTATAAATTATATATTTATAATAGCAATAAAAATATGTATAGTATTTAAAAACAATAATGTAATTAAAATCATACTTCAAATATGACATGATCGGTTTGTCATTGTAATTAGCATTTATAAATGAACCTTCATTAGAGAAATGAAGTAATAGCTGATTAATAACTTCTATAATAATAGTTCACACAGCGCATTATGTTAAACAACGCCTAAGCAAATATTGTTTTCGTAACTTCACTCTTCATGTAATTGTGTTTGAAGAACTTCATGTATTTAAAATTAACATACATTCATTGACTGCTTGTATTTTTTTTTACTTTTTCGCGATATATTATCATTTTTTAAACAGCTGTAATATCTGTCTTGCCTAAAAAGTATTTTCCATTTTAATAACTTCAAAGATTTATAGAAACTATGAATATTATAGAAATAATTTCTAATCATTAAACTTACGATTAGTACAAGTGTTTAATTTGTTTTATTATTTTCAAGGAACAGGGTAAAATATTCTTCTGATTCAGGCATTTTTCATTAAATCAACATTTGTATTACGCAGTAACTTTAAAATGGCTATTTACTTACAACGTTGATGTCGATACTCATACAACGACTGATCTTTATTCACACACGCGAGGACTAATCACAATCGACTCGTATAGAAATGATATCATTGAGAGCGATTGACGAATCATTGGCACTCGACTCTACCGTAACGCACTTCCGTTGCATTTGTTCTGTTCTAATTTACACCCTAGTCGCGCCTTAAAAAAGTTTTATTTCAAAATTGATTCAATGTTTAATTTGGAAAGACAGTCAAGCCAATAAACAAATACTAGAAATAGTAGAATAGTATAACATTAGCATAATTACACGAATATAAGAAGTTATATACTTTGTAACATATGGAATTAATAGCCTTCTGATTGACAATTTTTTATATAATTGGATATGCTACATTTTGTAAAAAAATGCGCAATAATAATTTGTAATTAAGAGTTGAAATTTAAAATACATTGTTCCTATGACATCCAAAATTGATATTAATTATTTAATTATTACTCTCCTTACTGCGTCGCACTAAGCATTTCCATGTTAGGCAAATAAATTCTATCACGACATATGGACGGAACTCAATCATTATCCTACGATGATTTTTATTTAACTAATCATCTATCATTTAACAAAATATCTAATTAATTTAAATTTGTGGGACAGGAATAGTTTTGATTTCGCAACATCCGCCGGCGTCATATGTGATGTGTACTATGATGAGTAGAGTACTATGCGCACTAATTTATTTAACAAGGCCGAAACGAATAAACATTCGGAATGGGACACGCGATCATAATTTAGAATAGTAATGACGATTTAAGAATATATAAAATTCTCTCAATTGCATTTTTATAATGGGTAATTATTGTCATTTTTATAACCAGCCAGCGAGGATTTTATTTTATATTCGACATTGACATTTCAGTTGCAGTAGATATATAAATGATAGAAATACAATGGATAAAGTAATAAAATGATACATTGTAACAAATAGTAATTCATAAACACATGAACTATATTGATGCATACATATATAAATATGTATTTGTCTAAATTAATTAAAAGAGACTAAATTATTATTTTTTGTCAAATTTTTGCATTACGTTTTATTTTTATGTTCATTTTTTGCCTCTGTAGGTATTTTAAATTATATTAATCTATTTTGGATAAAAACGAATAGTTCTAAAATTTATTGCATTAAAAAATTTAAAAATCTAAGAAGCATTAATATCCTTATAAATCAAACACAATAATTATCAAAATATTCTGAGAAATAATAAGCATTAATATCCCTGTAAATCCAATACCCACAACTATCAAAATTAATTTCATATACTTAGATTGAGTATTTGCTACATTTTGTAAAATTTTTAATTTGAATTTAATTCATATAAGGTAGAATGGGGCTTAAATAAATTCCATAACTCAAAGTTGAGAATATTTTAACAACAATATTTGAAAGTAGAGGGCAAAAGATGTATAACCAGCAATCTTCTTAATGCTTAACACTTTTCTAATTCTTATGACTTTAAAACGGCAACATTTGAAAATTCATAACAAAAGTATTTTCTTTCATTGTTAATTTTTTTGGTTGAAAGCACTGTTGTTGAGTTTACTAGACCTTGATATATTTTATACGCTATTTAAATGTTTTATAAAATGTATATATTTTTTAAAGTTAAATTTAACGTAAGTTGAACTTCAAATTTTTTATATAATTCTCACATGTGAGCAATCCTGGCAATGATAAACAATAATAAATAGTTAACAAAAACTAAATTAGGTCAAAAAAAGAATTTTACAAGAAGTAAACAGTCTTGGTTGAATTATTTCGTAAAATTCTTACAAAACTAAAACTAAGACATTGGACCTTTTTTCCCTCTGACCGTCCTATTTAACTACGGCTATAGAGTGCAAAGGACCATGTGACAGTGGATTCAAAGATATATTACTTAAAAACTGTTTACAATGAGCCCCTAAATCCCCTACTTTAATTGTTTCTGAGATAATGATGGTGAATCTTTTTACTCGCGGACCTTTGAACCCCGCTCTAGCCTAGTTAACTTCCCGCAATGTAAGTTACAGTAATCGCAAACAAATCGGAAATATTTTTTTTCATATCATTACATTTCAAAGGTTTCTGAACATCTTAGCAAACCTTAGCAAAAATTTGATGTATTTGTGCGTGTGTGTGTTTGTGTGTAGGCGGATACAAATTTTTGTCGACGATTTCAGGAATAAGGATTAACTGATTTAAATAATTTAAAAAACATTTGATTCGTATTAATATAAGGACGTGATTATTATTTTGGCAAAGCCAGGTCCAGCCGTTTACAAGATACGGGCAAAAAGATTGCCAGTTTTTGAGAGAACAGAGCGTCCGATTCGAATGATTCAAAAATATTTTATTTGTATTAACAAAACAACTGATTAAATTTCTGGAAAGGCAAGTCCAGCGGTTTTCGAAATCCAATATAAGAAGTAAAAGAATGCCATTAGTCGATCAAAAATTATCATTAGACATATGCTCATAAAATCATCAGAAATTTTATAGAAATTTTAATAAGAAGTACAGAATTCGTTTACTGTTCTATGTGTTCCGTACTAATGTTCAAAATGTTCAAGAAATTTCGAAATATAAAAAAATCAAAATTTTCGAAATAATTTAAAAATTTCAATAATCTATTGTTTAAGAATTTAAAAAAAAATCAAAGTTGTTTAAAAAATCTTAATTTTTGGTACGGAAACTTCCAGCAATTTGCCTTAAGGTTAAGGTGACCATACGTCCAGTATTGACCGGGACAGTCCCGTATTTTGACCTTGTGTCCCGGGTTATTTTAAAAGCATGATATATACCGGAATTAGATCATTTGCCCCGAATTGTCTCGGTTTTTCAAAAATTAACAGATGAATTAACAAAACTTATAAAAACAAATGAACAAGTACTAATTTTTTCAAAATATTTATGAATAGAATTGAATATAATATTATACAAGACTCAAAAGCCCGAAAATCATAGATGAAAAAGTATGACATTCAACCGAATAATAAGGTTCATACTAAAAGTCCGCAATTATTATAAAAAAGAGAATTATATAAAAAACTGTTATTATATACCCCACATCCCTGATTAGCGTAACTAAAAATTGTCGTCCCGGTTTTGACTTAGAAAAATATGGTCACCTTGCTTACGACACGATGCCATGCATCACTAGTTATTTAATATAATTGACAGAAAATTAATAACATTATAATTCTCTAGCCATATCAGAAATTTTATACCAAAAATTTAATATTTTGTGCCAACCAATGTGTCTTTTACTATTTCCAGATTAGGTTTACGAGACTTAATCGGCGCGGACGTAGCAGCTGCCAGCGTCCTAATATCGATGGGGGCGTTGCTCGGACGGACGACGTGGGTGCAACTGCTGCTCATGGGTTTTATTGAAATTCTAATTTTCTCGGCTAATGAATATCTCCAGGTCGAGGTGTTTCAGGTAAAAACACGAATCTACCTACTAGCTTCGTCTTTATTAATATTTATCTTTCTAGAGTTTTGTTTACCTAATCATGTGCTCATTACCGTAAAGTATTCCGAAATGAACCTGAATCACTTACGCCCACGAGATAATGAAAATATTATGCAAATTGTTATGATGAAATATAATTATTCTTTAGAAAATTAAGTTAAATAATTTATGTGATGATCATAAATTTTATATATAACGCCTTGGTGATAATTAAATTTTGAGGATAATTAAATAAGAAAGCGTTGCGTTAAATAATAAACATCGTGTTTTGGAATTAGGTTCTATATATAACTTTTCTAAAGGTGTGATAATTTATTCGTAATGGGTGCAATAAAATATTCTGATCTTATTCGATTGTAGAAATATAACTTCTTAAAGTATCAAATAAACGTTTACAGAATTTCTATACTAATACAATGATTTAATGAAATCTAAGTATAATACACTAACAATTTGGAACTTGTTTATTCCAAAAATATAAAACTAGTGGGATCGAACCCGAGACTTCTGATGAGGTCCAGTCACGAGTGAGCCCAAAAAACTCTTATTAATATAATTAATTTCTGATAACCGATTAAAACACTGTAGGCATGATATTTATAAAAAGCTGATTATTTTCTTCAATTTTATTTTTAATTTAAAAGTAAAATTCTGCCGGTTAATAATGGAAAAAAATTAAAAAAATGAACTAATCAAAATCAAAAAGAAGAATTGTATAGTGGGGCCGATGGCATTGTGCCTTAAGGCAAATTGCTGGAACTTCCCGTTACAAAAAATATTTTTCTTAAAAAGATTAACATTCTTGAAAAAAATTTCTTTGAATAAATTAGATTTTTGAGAAACTATAAATTTGTGTCAAAAATTTACTTTTTTGAAAAAAAAAAGACTATGAAAAAAAAATGTTTTCTTTATTTTGAAATATTTTGAAAATTCTGAACTTTTTTTCAAAGCAATCGCACTGCTTTAACTGCATGGAGACGAAATATCGAAGCGCGTAAGCGCCGCGTCGCCGTCGAACGGATCAACTTAAAGTTAAAATCTCTATAAAATATCTGATAATTTGATGTGCATATGTCTAATGATCATTTTTGACCATCAAATGGCATTTTTTTCACTTTTTTCACTAGATCTTCAAAACCGCTAGACCTGCCTTCATAAAAATTTAATCAGTTCTTCATCTTGCCAATACAAGTAAAACGTTTTGAATTATCAAAATCGGACGCTCCGTTCTCTTAGGTACTGAGTTACCGTTTGTGACTCTTTTTGCCCCGTATCTTTGGAACGGCTAGACCTGCCTGTGCTAAAAGCTAATCAGAACATCTCCTTATCAACAGCAATCGAATGTTTTTTGAGTAATTAAAATCGGTTAAAACGTGTTCCCGAAATCGTCGACAAAAATTTATATCCGCACACACACACACATACATCCATTTTTTCTAAGGTATATCAAAATGTTCTGAAACGTAAAAGTATTTAAAAAAAATTATTTTCGATTTTTTTGCAATTACTATAACTTACCCTACGGGAAGTTAATTAGCAAGACCCATCAATTATACAGGGTCCGCCATAGATAGTTTTTTTTATAAATTTTATTCTAATAATATACAATTCTTCAATTTTGATCACTTCATTTCTTTTTAATATTTTCCATTATTAACCGGCAGAATTGTACTTTCAAATTGAAAATAAAATTGAAGAAAATAATCAGCTTTTTTATAAATATCATATCTTCAGTGTTTTACTCGGTTACCAGAAATTGATTATATTAATAAGAGTTTTTTGAGCTCACTCGAAGCTAGAGCGACTGGACCTCATCAGAGGTCTCGGATTCGATCCCGCTTCGAGAAGCCTGATATCAAGCAGTAGTGACATAGGTTTTTACTTGAAAATATAGATAGCAATAGGTTCCCAAGTAAAAATAGCCTTCATCTGGCATTGGTGGATATGAAAATGAGACAACTGTTTTGGTTCTCATCTGTTAAACCGACGTTGTATTATGTCAAAATAGCACAATATTTTATAGAACTTTTTAGTTCTGATTCCTGTTCAAAATAATAAAAAAAGTATCTTACACTATTGTAATATGTTAATATATAATATTTTTACAGATTACTGATGCAGGTGGTTCAATAGTTGTCCATGCATTTGGAGCATACTTTGGATTAGCAGTAAGTTTCATGTTACGACCATCGAAAACAGTTCCATCAAAATTAGAAGGACCCAGCTATAATTCTGATATGTTCGCCATGATTGGTAAGTGAATCACACTTCACAGAAATTTTATTTAAAACACGTGGAGCATCTTCAAATTAAAGATACACGAGTTACCAATCAAAAAATGAAGTTTTATTTAAAACACGTGCACCATCATCAAGTCAAAATTATACGAGTTGCTTATTAAAAATTCAAAGTATCATAATAATTATGTGTAATAAATTTCGTATGTTCAGCGGTAAATATTTCGAAGATTGGTTGTAAATTTAAAATTTTATTGTCTATTCGCAAAGGACTTAATGTTCGATCGTAAAAAGGATGTGAAACGTATAATTAAATTAAGTACACAAAAACTTTCCATTCACCCAAAAGATCACATATTACAAATAAAAAATTTGCATCCCAGATAAATTAAATTATTAACTTTTTCCATTTGCGCATTGCTAAAGTAATGCATAACATATCGCAGTAGGGGCGGCATCTTAGTGGAAAGGGTTATAATATACTAAATACTTAAACTATATTTCATATAATTAAATAAAATACAAAAATATTGGTGCCTAGACAGAATAGAAATATGTTTGTTAATAATTGTTAACATTTAATTATTATATTTGTATATATTAACCCTTTCCACTCGGAAACCGGATATTAATATGTACTTGATTTGATAAAGTATTTGGTAAAGTATTTTTGATAAGAAAAAAAAAAGAACTAGTTGGTTTGGTATTTAGCCTTGAGGCAAGTTACAAGAACTTCCCGATATATGTAAATAATCGACTTAATAAAAAAAATGTGTAAATAATATACTTCATCAATCCTACTTTAAAAAAAACGATAATAATTTTAGCAAACTTTGACGAATTTGTAAAATTAAACTACTTGTCGTAAGGCCGTAATATTACAGTAAGTTCTATAAGACGATGATGTATATCGCCAAAATTAATCAGTACCATTCCCAACTAATATCTTTCGAACAGTTTTTGATTTTTTAAAATCGGTTCGGTAGGATGAGCTTAAATGTCGACGAAAATTTAACACTTTTTTTCAACAGTTAATTACAAGAAAACGGCTCAGTAGATTCTCACCTAAAATTAATCAGTATCATTCCCAACTAATATCTTTCAAACAGTTTTTGATTTTTTAAAATCGGTTCGGTAGGATGAGCTTAAATGTCGACGAAAATTTAACACTTTTTTTCAACAGTTAATTACAAGAAAACGGCTCGGTAGATTTTCACCTAAAATTAATCAGTATCATTCCCAACTAATATCTTTCGAACAGTTTTTGATTTTTTAAAATCGGTTCGGTAGGATGAGAAGTTCAACACATTTTTTTCGAATTTCGAAGAAACCGCTTGTCAGATCGTTGCACAAAACTGGCAAACGATAGTCCTCACCGAAATACATCAAATGGTTTTTAAATTTCTAAAATCGGTTCAGGCGTTTTTGAGAAAACGTCGATCAAAAGTCTAATTTTGACAAATGCCAAAAAGACCATACTGATTTTTGCAAACTTTGACGAATTTTTAAAGCTGAACCAGTTGTCGTAGGGCCGTAATATTTTAGTATGATCTAGAAGACTATGGTATCTATCGTCAAAAAAATAATCATAAAAATCGACGAAATTTTTTTTTTTTATACTTTATTACAAGAAAACGGCCCGGCCGATCTCTACCAAAAACTAATCAGCACGATTCCCAACCAATATCTTTCGAACGGTTTTTGAATTTTCAAAATCGATTCAGAATTGCGGGCTAAAACGTAGACGAAAAATTTTTCACTTTTCTGCCATTTATAAAGAAACGGCTTGGCCGATCGTCGCACAAAACTGACAAACAATAGTTCTCGTCGAGATACATCGAATGGCTTTTAAATTTTTGAAATCGACCCAGCCGTTTTCGAGAAAACGTCGATTTACGGCAAAAAATCTGTTCACATACACACACACACACACACACACACATACTTTTTCCAAATTTGGTCTCATTCGATTCAGAATGGCTTGAAACGTCGAGAAAACATAAAATTAGCGAATCGGATTTTTTGATGAAAACATAAACTTCTCCTTCGGGAAGTTAAAAAAAATGGAAAAAAACGTTGAAGATATAATTGTGGTGCATGTAATCGACCACATATGACTTTTAATGCAAAGTATCGTATAACAAAACAAAGAACAATATTTCTTCTTGTAAATCTGATTAATATCAATGACTTATCTTAAGCTTATATGTTTTTCCTGCAGGAACGCTTTTCCTGTGGCTGTTTTGGCCAAGTTTCAACTCAGCATTCATATCAGGTGAGGGACAACACCGCGCGGTTATCAATACATATTTATCGCTAGCTGCCGCCACCGTCACGGCGTTCTGCATATCGGCGGCGGTTACGCACGCCAAGAAGTTCGACATGGTAAGATTATAATATAAGATGTGAGAAAATAGAATTAGATGCATTTAAAATACATGAGATAAATATAGACCGAACATGAAGCATTTTCAAATAATAAATTTGCTATTAAGAAAATAAAATATGTCTCACTTGTGTAACTGCTACTGCAATATCGCTGGATTGTGTGATTCTCTATGTCTTTCACTAATAATGTATATTTTTCACTTCATATATAACACGCTCATCAATCGTTTCATATCCAACTTCATATCCGCTTTCCGCCTTGTTGGTTTAAAGATAGTAGTCACCCTAGAAAATATAATAATATGGTAGTCATTCTGTGCTATCACAGAGCCATCTATCGTGATTTATCTCAATTCAAGAAATACGAAACTTTTCTCCATTGAGTCAAATAGAACTACATACGACTGCATACGACTGCAGACGACTGCATACGACTGCAGACGACTACATACGACTGCAAACGACTGCATACGACTGCATACGACCGCAAGCAAGTCGTTACAAGAATATAAGAGGCGGGATTGATACACTGATATCATTATTATATATGAAATTGACCAGTACTCTTGCCAGTCGGGATTTTATTTTGTATATTATAAACATATTGTAAAATTAAAGAAATAAAGATTTATTTTTGTAACCAAGTATATAATTAATTGTCAACTTTATATCAGCCGTGTTTTGCTTGAAGGAATTGGACTTATTACTTATTACTTACTACCACATAATATTAGACTTGAGGTATTGTATCTTGATTGCAGTTAAGAAATAAAAAAAATATTAAAGAAATACATTTAACAATTATTACACAATAGCACTGAAACCTGAAGAAAAAATTTCTACTTCACATGCATTTATTATGAATCGCTCAAATTTTTGACGCTTTTTTGATATTATAAACGAACTTGTACTTCTAGTTTGAAATAAATGTAAAAGATTGTGCTGATGCAAGTCTAAGTGGCAACTATTCTAAATATCATGAAACTTCTGTTTAAATTGTGATAGATGTAATGCAATTTCTTTTTTAACTTGAAGCTATAGAATTTATTTTATCTTCACCAGTTTTTTTTTGCAGGTCATGATTCAGTGAATATATCTAAATTTATTTCGAAGTGTTTCTTACATTTTTATTCGTTACTGGAATTTTTAACCAGATTTTTTATCTTAAATCCAGGAAAAATGTATAAAATTTATTCTGAAACCGAACTTTTTGACTAAAGATACATAACTATTATTACATATATCACACAATCTAAATCCAATTGACTTCCAGTTTCGATCAATACCGCCAATAAGCCAATAGCAATTAGCCAAATTATATAGTTATTCTTTAATGATATGCAGTTTTAAAACGATCCGATAATAAAATATGCATAAGATGTTGGTTAAATCATCATCTACCTTCTAACTTTGAAAACAGTTATGAATTTTGTAGTAGTATATTATTTGTAAAACGTATCATACCTATTTATTTCTATCTTGTTTAGGTGTCATTGAAGCATATAAAAAGTATATAAATTAAGACAGAGAGAGATTAATTTAGAATTTGTAAAGTTTTAGGATTTTACCATGATTTTTCACCATATGATTTTCTATCTTGATTGTATGTTTGGATCTTGTAGTTAATGACATATTTTTGTTGAATTGAATTGAAACTACACTACGTGATAATTCAGTATAAAAATATAATGATTAGTAGTCTGCCAAAAGACAGGTCCATGGTGTGAGAGCACCATAATTCAATGATTTTCTTCTCTCCCTTGTTTATTTTACCCAGTACTATTTCTTTACCACTATTCATTTATTATTTTATACACTTTTGTGCATTTTGCTTCCTTCTATGCTGCCTGGTTCTGTGTTTCGGCTTTCAGTTCCCTATATTTCTCCTCTTCTCGCATAAGTCATCAATCAAAATGGAAAAGCTATCACATTTTAGATTTAATTATATATATATATATATATATATATATATATATATATATATTAGGGGTCCTTAACAAGGTATTTTCCAATTTCTTTGCTCCCAAGGGCGCCAATGCTTCCAAATAAATAAAAAATGAATCTCTAATAGTATTAGCTCTTAATATAAACATTTAAATAGAGCGCACGCCAATTGAAAGTCTCTTATATTTGTTATTAACATATGTCATTAAGTAAATTCTTACGCCATCTGCATAGTATTCGTATATATATATATATATATATATATATATATATATATATATATATATATATAAAGTGACACAAATATTTTGCTGATTTATAGCAGACCTACATATATCATTTAAGAAACTTACATCGAATAATTTTGACAGATTTCAACCGATTGCGTGCAGTAAAGTCTTTTTGTAAACCTGGCTGGCCAAAATTATAAGGTTTTAAATTTGATAATAAAAAAGGTTTATCAAAATTTATTGAATATTGTCCAAGTTATTCAATATTTCCATTGACCACAAATATGTACGCACCCCATATTATTTTTTATAAATTTAATAATAGAATAAAGTTATTGTTAAATCAAATGCATTAACATAGCGTGAAAAAATAACGTTAAAATTGCTTCCAGCATCTAGATTTATATATAAAACAAAATGAATGTAGAACAGCAAACTGCATTATTTTAGAGAACTGACAACTGATCTACAAAACTATCTGTTGGTCTACTGGTCCATTTTCACAGCTTGTAAATTTGTACACAAATGGAAAACAACAAAAATTTAAAAAGTAAACACTGCCTTCCGTGTTTCGTTTGATATGAAAATGCAATCTACGATATTGCTCCGAGGGTAAAGCTTGAATTCAAAAGCGATTTTCGTTTGCAGGTCCACATCCAGAATTCAACGTTGGCCGGCGGCGTCGCCGTGGGCTCCATTTGTAACCTGATTATTCACCCGTTCGGCGCCATGGTTACCGGAACGCTTGCCGGAATTCTAAGCGTGCTGGGATATGAATATTTAACGGTAATTTCGAATTGTTATATAGCTATTGTTTATTTCGATAAAACATATCGGCATTGTAATTGTAAACATTGCAATGTAATTGCATTGTTCAATTAAACGCCATTGTTGTGCGTTGTTGTTGATCAAATTTAGATTTTTAGATACCAGATTATGCATAGTCTACCATACTGATAACTATAATTTACACTACAAAAAAAATTAAAACTTGTCCGAATAATAGATATTTCAAAGTACAAAATTCTTCTGATTGTCTACGTCAGAAGGATTTTTTATATTGGATTTCTTCCAAGTAATAGGGAAGACTGGATACAGTTGCTCCACTTATCTTTTATCAGCAATAATTTTGTTAATTTATCAAATTAAGATTTTCAGATACCAGATTATGCATAGTGTACCATACTGATAACTATATGTTACACTCAAAAAAAATATTAAAACTTGTCCGAGTGATAGATATTTTAAATTACAAAATTCTTCTGATTGTTTTGGATTTTTTATATTGGATTTATTCCAAGTAGTAGGAAAGACTCGATACGGTTGTGCCACTTTTCTTTTATCAGCAATAATTTTGTCAATTTACCAGTTAGCAGGGAAAAAGTAAAATTAATGTTTTTTTTAAACTATTATATTACAATATGTATTTATTGATTTTTATAGATCTCAATGAATATGAAACAAATTTGTATATAGTTTAGTTATATATATATATATATATTTTTTTTTTAATTTTCTAATTTTACAGTACAAATTCTTACCAGTTTTTCTTGATTTTCTCTTAAACAGTAAAATATACTAAAAAAGTTTGTTAGTTCAAAAGATGCAAAATAAAATGATATATAAATGGTTAATTGTGTTCATATAATTTTCTGGAGATTTTTCAGTTTTTCTTGAATTTTTCAATGGCAACGTGCCTTAAGGCAAATTGCTGAAACTTTCCGTTAAAGATTTTCTTTAAACATTGAAAACAATAAATTTTTGAGAATTATTAAATTTTTGAAAAAAAAATGGAATTTTTATAATATAAAAAACTTTTTTGAGAAAAATGTTACTACTTTCCCTGTATCTTTAAAACGGCTACTTACTATTTGCCTTGTCCAAAAACAAATCAGCACGTCACCTTATCAATAAAAATCGAATGTTTTTTTAATCATTCAAATCAGTTGAATGGTGTTCCCAAAATCGTCGACGAAAATTTGTATCCGAATACACACACACACATCCATCCATCTGAAATATAAAGCTATATACAAATTGTCGATATTTTGCGATTACAATAACTTACCATATGGAAGTTAATAATTGGTAATTTGAAAATTTATTTTTGAGAAAATACTGGAATACGGTCTATAAATACGATAATTATTAAATACATTAGTCATAAAATTATACAAAAAAGGGTGAGTGTCACAATAGGACACATACCCAAGAGGGTCTTCAGGGTTAAAAAATAGTATTACAAATACCAAAATGATTTATAACGACTGTTTTGATCAAAAATATTCAACGCAACACAACATAAACATTTAAAAAAGCTTAAAAATATTATATTTAATAAAATAAAGCAAACCATAATTTTCTAAACAAGATTTTTTTGTGAAATATTTTGTTTTCTTGTATTGAATTTCACTTTCCTTTTCTCCTTCGTATTTTGTTTAGAAAAGTTAGTATTTTCTTTTTCTGTTCAAATTTCACAGTGTATTTCTATGTCACATAAAACAAAAGTAAATGCTGTTAACTTACAGGAAAATAATAAATAAGGTGATCTATCTGTACACAAGTAACAATTATTATTTAAAGAATTCAAATATGAAAACTTACTTTTTGCTCTTTAAAATTAATTCGGTCTACAGGTCATTTAATATTAATTCGGTCTATAGATCATGTTAATGTAGGGCGCTGACTAAATGCAATAATAGGAACATGTTCAAACAAACATACTTCATCTTTCTCCCTTTGGACCCTATGTAAAAATCGATATAGTTTCGCTGTCATGCTGACCATCACTACCGTATCCTGGCACAACCGTACCCTGCTTTTTCGAAAAAAATCTAATCTGTAATCCCAGGATACTTGTTCCATATGAAACCGATTGCAGATAACAATATAAAATTTACTTGTTTAAATAAACTTCATACAAAAAATATATTAATTTTATTTTTTCTCGCAGCCAATAATTTCCAGAAAATTGCGCATACAAGATACGTGTGGTGTGCACAACCTTCACGGTATGCCTGCGGTATTATCAGGGTTTTGAGTGCAGTTTTTGCTGCAATTGCGACAAAAGATGAATATTCCAATTCCTTATATAGTATTTTTCCGGCAATGCAACAACTAAACGGAACATCTGCCGAATCTACAGAAACCATTGATAATGGAGTTACTGTAAGTATAAGTTGAAAGAGGAGTTTATATTGTTATTTATATTAAACAAAGTAAATTTACCAAATTAAAAATGTGTGAAGATTTGCATTCTCTCATGCATTTCCTGAGATTTATTATCTAGTGTAGAGAATTTCCTCATATAATACGACTTAATACATTAATTTCCAGATCGCCATGGTCCGATCCGGAACTACTCAGGCGGGCTATCAATTACTGGCTTTGGGTCTAACAGTATTAATCGCCATCGTCAGTGGACTTGTAACAGGCAAGTTAAACCTCTTATTCAATTATTTTGATGTCGATTACACCCTATAATAAAATCAAATTACTTGGCAACAAATGTTCTAAACTGAACCCTCACGTTAGCTAAAATAGCAATTGAATACTTTTCCCCATTCAATATGAATATATGGAAAACCTAGTTTCATATGATAAATAAACAAGAAAATTGAGGTCAATAATAGAAGTCAAAAATACTTGAGAGATTATTGGATGATAAACGTCCACATTATGTAAGAAATAGAATTGATTTTAAATTATATTTATAAAATGCCTTAAAAATTATTAGAGAAAAGCCAAGACAATTATAATAATGACATATAATAAATATAAACTACGTACATACAGATATATGTTTTCTGCCTAAATGAGATATACATAATATATTATAGATATTTTTGAAAAAATCATATATAATAGGCAAATATCTCCTTCCATATCTAGACGCGATAAATTCATAGAATTTGAAGCTACAATGTTTAGACAAAATTCATAAAAACAGTAAAATCAAATAAAACTAGTGGTGTTGGCATCATGTCTCAGGGCAAATTGCTGGAACTTCCCGTACCAGAATTAAATATCCGAGAGAAAAGAATTAGTAATAATTAATTATTGATCAATGATTAATACCAATTTTTTGAACATTTACAAACAGATAAATATAATCATTAAATATTTTATCGGTCATAAAATATACAGTGACAATTTTATCGATTTAATTAAAAAATCTTGGTACGGAACCGAAAAAAATGTAACAAAATTAGTACTCATTTTTAAAAACTTCATCAAATATATGATAATTTGATGTGCATCTGTCTAATGGTCATTCTTGACCGCCAAATATCACTATTTGCTCTGTATTTCCGAAACCACTAGACCTGCCCTATCAAACATTTCATCAATTCTTTATCTTGTCAATACAAGTAAAACGTTTTTTGAATCATTAAATCGGTATCGGGTACTGCGTTCTTTCACAAACCGAATTACTGTTTTTGGCACTATTTGCCCCGTATTTTCGAAACGACTATACCTGTCTTTACCAAAAACTAATCAGTACGTCTTCTCATCAGTAAGAATCGAATGCTTTTTGAATCATTCAAATCGGTTGACTCGTGCCCCTGAAATCGTGGACAAAACATTATATGCAAACATACATACACACACACTGATTCATAAAATTGAATTTCTTTTCTTTTTGATTTGAAAATAATTGAATATTAATTGACTTGTTTGTAATTATTTAATTTAATTTCCAATAATATATAAAAATACTTAAGCTTAATTTTTGAAACGTAGATAAAGTTTTTTTATCAGATAGTCCCAAAAGTAAGAGGGCGTCTATTAATCGCGTGATCGATTTTTTAAAGGATTTTTTTTAGTAGTAACTAAAAATACATGTGATG